ATTAATAAATTCCTGTGTTTTTCCCTTCCTTATTTTCTCTCCTTTTCCCCATTTCCCCCCTCTCTCTCTGGCGATCCCGAGTGTCCCCGTGGCACTTTGGGGTTGTTTGATAAATTCCTGTGGTTTTGGTTTGTTTGATAAATTCGTGTGTTTCTCTTCCCTCTTTTCTCTCTTTTTTCCCATTTCTCTGATGTTCCCCAGTGTCCGGCGGCACTTTGGGGTGGTTTGATAAATTCCTGTATTTTTGGTTTGTTTGATAAATTCTTGTGTTTTTTTCTTCCCTCTCTTCTCTCCTTTTCCCCATTTTCCCCTCCTCTCTCTCCGGCGATCCCGAGAGTCCAGGGGCACCTTGGGGTGGTTTGATAAATTGTTGTATTTTTCTTTTCCCTCTTTTCTCTCCTTTTCCCGTTTCTCTGTTAATACCCAGTGTCCGGCGACACTTTGGGGTGGTTTAACAAATTCCTGTGTTTTCCTTTTCCCTCTCTTCCCTCCTTTCCCCCGTTTCTCTGATGATCCCGAGTGCTTGGTGGCACTTTGGGGTCGTTTGATAAATTGCTGTATTTTCCTTTTCCCTCTTTTCTCTCCTTTTTCCCTTTTCTCTGTCAATCCCAAATGTCCAGCGATACTTTGGGGTTCTTTGATAAATTCCTATGTTTTCCTTTTCCCTCTCTTCTCTCCTTTTCCCCATTTCTCTGATGATCCCGAGTGTCCAGCAGCACTTTGGGGTGGTTTGATAAATTCCTGTACTTTCCTTTTCCCTCTTTTCTCTCCTTTCCCCCGTTTCTCTGTCAATCCCGAGTGTCCAGCAGCACTTTGGGGTGATTTGATAAATTCCTGTGTTTTTCTCTTCCCTCTTTTCTCTCTTTTTCCCCATTTCTCTGATGATCCCGAGTGTCCGGCTGCACTTTGGGGTGGTTTGATAAATTCCTGTGTTTCTCTCTCCCCTCTTTTCTCTCTTTTTTCCCATTTCTCTGATGTTCCCCAGTGTCCGGCGGCACTTTGGGGTGGTTTGATAAATTCCTGTAATTTTGGTTTGGT